TTTATTTACTTACTAAGGAACACTTACTTTCATCACCAGTTTTAATAGAAATCCAATAGGACGTGAACCTGTTACCATATACCTTGATACAGAAAAATTAACTCTTTTAACACCGAGAAAAGTATAATTATTATTGACTCGACTTATACGAACCGACCAAACCAACAAGAAAGTCCTAAAAAGGTTATTAAACATTTTTTTATACCAATCGTAATAGGTACTTAATATGATGTTTTTTTCACACAAAATTATTTTATTTTTGTAAAGATTAGAGAAAAGATCTTGTACTTAAATGTCGAAAAGAAATGAGTTCTCGGAATGAGATAGTTCATAATACTCTTAAAAACAAAAACTCAAGTCTCTAGACTCGTATATATTTAAATTGACTTGTCTTGTTTCAAATGAGAAAAAACACATTTTCATTCTCTTTTGTACAGTGTACAATCATTATAACCTGATAACTTATAAGGCCACCTTATTTACGGGTAGAAGTGCAACAAAACGTATGACTGTCTATTAAAACTTGGATTATAGTATTACAAAAAAAGAACACCAAAGTTGCTTACAACACTGGCAGCAATTAAAAAAAAACAACAACACGAAATCAGAGCCGCTCCGTAACGTAGGCACAATTTCCCTGTGACCTAATTCGTCGACTTAATATTCAGTCGCAGGCCGTTACGTCTTCATAAGTCGCGTTTTTAATCAACAAACCCTTGGAACTCGCTAATTTGAATAACGGACAAAAGGGTTGTTTTAGGGTACCGCACTAATGAAAGTGAGAACCGTTGGTAATAGCGCGAATTAAGGATGGGTCAGGAATCGGGTCTCGGCCTCGATACCGGTATCGGTTTCAACCGTCTAATTCGATCTTAGATACCAATTGTCGGAGTAATTTGCTAGGCTTCTTAATCTTAACTCAATTATGTTTGTGCATTGATTTGTGTGTGCCAATAACGTCTTATCAATGTTATTCGAATATTATTACAGCTTCTCTATTTCATACTTATTTAAATCAATATTTAACTATACTTGATATACCTTCGAAACCTACCTAATACACAAACAAAACTTTTATTTCATAGATACCTACCCACAACAGTTTGAGCGCCTTTCAAAAAGCATCGACATGCACACCTAAAATCCAACTAAAATAAAAAAAACTTTTCCGACTCCGAAACTAAACTCTCTACCGTGTCCCATCACTACGGCACTCTAAAACTAGGGCATTCGCATTTTAAACGGCATGTGTTATTGCTCTCAAATTGTTGCGGATCTATTAGTGTGTCGGCCACGGATGCTCAGGATTAAGCTGTTTAGCTAATGGCTCGAGGGCCGCAAAATGAGCGTTCTAAAGCCTACTCCTCGCTACTTTTATTAAGTAATACAATGTTATGGAGTATTGTTTACAAAACTGGCCTTCTAAAATCCAAGATCGGGCAATATGCCAGAGGAAGGACAAAGCTTTTAAAAACAAACAGTTGAGTAGTTAAAAAAAACTCTATTAATCGGTGACAAAGCGGCGAGATAAATAAGCCTACTAGCAATTTGCACTACAACATAATTAAAACCTACGACAGGCTACGGGCCCGCCATTCCGCGCGGGCGCACACTTCGCCGCAATTTTTCCATCAACGGGTGGGCACCACAATTATGCGATTTGCATACCTATCGCGGCCGCCACTCGACGCGACGCGTTTTTGTGCGCCAAACCACTACGCCCTTTCTGTGTACACCGGCTGAAATAATTTGTAACTACGTGAAGAGAAGTGTCGGCACAATACAAACAGAGGCTTTTCCCGTGTCTCATAGGATACAAACATTTACAAACTCTGCCTATAAAAAACCTTGCTCCATTCTACTGAGAAAAGAGAAAAATATTTGTTAAATAGAAATGAAAGCAAAGCGCTGAGGAAGCCAATTAGATGCTTATTTGTCGCGTAAAACTTGTAAAAGTCAATCCAGGAAAGCAGGTCAAAGCGACCTGGAGAACTGAGAAGGACAGTTTCTTAAGCTTAGCATTAAGAAACCTTTTACTTTTCGCCAACATTTACCAACATTGTTTTAAAGTAGGTAACTATTGCGAAGTAAACATCGTCTGTACTACAAAGTAAACCTGCAACCATTAAAAGGTATCATTATACGTAGCTATCCACAAAAAATTCAAATTTCCGCCGAGCACAGTGCAAAACGGTTCAGAACACAACACATCGGAGCACGGGTTTATTGGATTTTAGCGGAAATTTCACTCGCACACGGGATGAAACGAGCAAAACAGCCAACACTGTTTGCGAATCACCTCCGCATATCGAATTTTGATTCCTGATTTGTATCGGACCAACCACCGACCCTATAAATAGGACGGCACGCAGGATGCGCAAATGGAATGCAAAACGCAGCATCCACAATGAAACCTCTATTGTATGAGTACAACTACGTTACGTTACAACAGAATTTATAAACAAAAATCGGTACAGTTTTTCGTGCGCACTACAATCAGCGAAATTGTTTTACCTTCGTTCAAACGTAAACACACGATATTGCATGTAACTCGGACTCGTATAAAGTTTCGCTAAAAAGTTAGTCCTAGAAGCAAAGTCCGCGTGGCCAGCGGCCGGCGGCCCTCGTTGCAATAACCGATCCTCGAAGGAGCTAGACAAACACACGAAACTTACCCGATGCTATCTTGGATGTCCAATTGAGTTTCGTCCTGCGCCGCTCCTTCATAGAATGCTAATAAACCCACTTAGCCGACAAACTACTGGTAGCTTTGTCTTTAAAAGTAAGGAGATTGTCGGCGTTGCATCTATCAGCAATCTCGTTGTAACAATATTAAACTCGACTTTGTAATTCTAAAGTCGAATCTCGACTACACTCTGATCTTCTTGCTAATTGTTGGAGGGAGGAAACGTAATAAAAGTGCTAGTCTTTGAAGCAAAGAGGCTGGCCTCGAGCGCCTCCGAGGAGCGCATTTTAATAAATTAAAACTGCGCAAAATTCCCATTCCAATATCATTTTATTTTCCTTTTTGCGTCGTGTCCGGCGCTCTCGCTCGCCTTACATTGATTCTATTTTGCTGAAAGACTATCAATCTACGTACCTACATCCAAGTTTTGAAAACATTCCATATATTTTTAAAGGAACCTGCTCACGAGTGTCTGTAATTGAAATCATTCGGATTCGCTTACACTTTAGGGGACAAACCGTCGATCTAACTTTTGTGATCCAGTTCACCCTTTACCAAAGGTTACTGCAGGAATTGAAACAGCATTTATTTGTGGAATAAAGTGCATAGCGCTCTGTTTCTAGCATAATACCTAATTACCGTTTGATGCAAACCAATAAATCGGACCACTACCCAATAGCCATCTGTGTGTGTGGGTGTGTGTGTGCATCATTCATTTATACTAATCGTGTTTTTTCTTTAATTCCAGGTGCTGTTAATTTCACTGGAACTACTGGCATCACGGAGTGGCGCTGCGGCACTGGCCAACTGCCCAGGAGGCTGTAACTGCAACGATGAAACTCTCGTCGTGGTGTGCGAAGAAAGCCGCCTCGACGTCCTCCCTATCGCCCTGAACCCTTCAATACAACGGCTGATCATCCGCAATAATAAGATTAAGACAATCGACAGTTCAATGCAGTTCTATGCCGATCTACAACATCTAGATCTTTCTCAGAATCACTTAGTTAACATTCCGACGAAAAGTTTCGCATATCAACGCAAACTACAAGAGCTGCATCTGAATCATAACAAGCTATCTTCAGTAACGAACACAACTTTCCAAGGACTTAATCAACTAACCGTTTTGAATTTGAAACGTAACTTCTTGGAGGAATTAACAAACGGAGTGTTCACTACTCTACCACGTTTAGAAGAACTTAACTTAGGTCAAAACAGAATATCGAGGATTGAGCCCAGAGCCTTCGCTGGATTATCAGCTCTACGGATCTTGTACTTAGACGACAACCAGCTGAGCTCAGTGCCAACTACATCGTTCAGCCTTTTGGGTAGTCTGGCAGAGCTGCACGTGGGCTTGAACGCATTTTCATTCCTGCCTGATGATGCCTTCGCAGGCCTTAATAGACTGACTGTGTTAGATCTAAATGGAGCTGGTCTCTCCAACATTAGTGAAAATGCGTTTAGAGGTCTTCCAGGTCTGAGAAGTCTCAACCTTTTCGGAAATAGATTAATTACAGTCCCCACACTGCAACTGTCAGGTCTGACAAGATTAGAAGATTTGTATATCGGGCAAAATGAATTCATCTCCCTGGAAAGCCATTCTTTCAAAGGATTGAAAAATCTGAAATTACTAGACATCACTGGCGCCACTCAGCTGGAAAGAATCGAAAAAGGCGCGTTCGAAGATAACATTAATTTGGAAACAATTGTTCTTGCAAACAATAAAAAGTTGGCAACCATTGAAGATTGCACACTATTGGGATTACCAAAATTGAAGCATGTTTCTCTGAGAGATAACGCCATTGTTACGTTAAGTGAAACAGTGTTTATTGGAAAAGAATTAAAGCAGCTAGATTTAACGGACAACCCTATCTTCTGTGATTGCCAACTATTATGGCTACAACAATTACTGTATGATAAGAGTAACTTCACACAATTGCACTGTGCAAGCCCCGAACATCTGAAAGATAAACCTCTAAGGAACTTGAATGCTGATGATCTAGGCTGTGTCCTTCATGACACCCGACAACAAACAATCATCTGCATCGTTGTAGTTGCCTGCGTAGCCACTATTGCGACATTAGTGTTAATATTGTATAGGTATCGCAAGAGCATGCAGGAGAAACTAAAAGACTACAAGTGGAACAAGGGGCGTAAAAACCTTGAGTACCATAAGCCCATCTCCACTGAAGAAGACTGCATAGTGCGTGGTATTCACCCATCGCAGTACCCCGCGCCCCCACACACTCCCGGCCTCAGGCCTATTCCGGTGACGGAACTGTAGCTAGAGCTTTACGCCTCCCCGAGCGTTTTCTTCATGTCAGGCGGCCAGGGCTCCGCCCGGAGGCCGCAGCGCTCGGGGGGCGGCGGCACGCTGCCCGCCAACGGATTCACGTACATTGGCGGTGATACGCGCCCGCATCAGCCGCTCACGCTAAATAATGGCGCACCAGCTCATCACCTTAACAATGGCTCTTTGCGCTCATTACCTGATAAAAAGAAAAACCGCAACGGCGTCGTCTGCCACCCAGAGAACTTCCAGCGCAACCTCGACACGCGCTATTCGAGGAAACAAGAGAATGGCTACATGCGCAACTCTGAGACCATTATAGGTTTCCCGCGCAACGAGCGCGAATACGAGCGCGAGCACAGCGAGTACAGTGAGCCCGAGTACTCCATCATCCCGGAGAACGGGTACGGCCGGCCGCTGGACGAGTACCCTCGCGCCTGCTCGCACTCGAACACCTTCAACTGCTGAGTGCGCACCTGAACTATCTCAATCGTTTGTGATCTTGTAATTCTAGCAATAAATCTTCATTCCATTAAGTTTTCTATGGACGGTGTCAGTTGTGACGGACGTAGTGCTCTAGAGCGGTTAGTGACATTAGAAATTCGGGTCCGGTGTACATTCGACCAGTGAGGACTATCTTGTATCGTATTCGTTTTAAAGAGTACCTTATTTGTAAATTATAAATTTAAGTAGTGATGGATCTATTTTTCAATGGGACGTCGGGGCTCGGAGCGTGTGTAAGTGAGACTTCCACACGAGTCAACGGTACAATGTACGGACTAGTCGCAGCAGAGGAGCGGGGGGGGCGCCCCCTCCATGGTGTACATCATAAAACATTGTGATTTGTAATATTTTCTACCAGTGCGGTGGATTTTGTATTTGATTTTGTACAAAAAACCATTCCATATGATATCTTTTTAATGTCTAATATTTTATTTATAAATGAATAAAGTAAGTGTGCGTTAAATAAGACACCAATATGAAAAATATTAGAATTAAAGAATGTAAATATATTTATACTATATTGAGATATTTATAAAATTTAATACAATCTTGTTCTTCTAAAATTATCATAAAATTATTTCGGGATATTGTATTATTTGCTATAATGACTGATATCCTAATTACGAGATTTCTTATGTCTGTCACTACCTATACTTACATACCTACTTACACTACATTTCTAGTCGTGTAAGGACGAACGCACCCATTATTTCTAATATGAACACTTCGATCACTTTTATGCTCAATCCTAATACTGTATCTAATAATTTATTAAGATTGAAGTAAACGACGAAACGATGTCTTAATGCTGTCATTGTTAATTAATTCATTATTTTGTTACCTATTTTTCTTTAAATCCATGCTATGAATGTCGAGTGATCTATTCAGAAATGTGTAGCCAAACGATAAAGGCATTTACTGATAGCTTCTCAATTACTGATACGATGCATACCAATTAAGTTAGCTAGTATTAATTAGTTTAATTGCAATCAATGTTTAAGCATTGCCTCATTATCTCAATTCCTCCGCTTCAGGAAAATGTTAAGTAGCGAAACGAGAGATAACAAATGATTTTGTATATTTGAACTAATTTTTACTTACAACTTAGTGTATGACTACCATGAAGAGTATTTACATTTCTAAATAGATCACAAACATTTACAATAACGTGCCTGTGACGAATACTCGTCGATGTTACAATTATTATTGAATGTCTTTGTATGTAAACTTATTCTTTTCTTAATTTTACTCAAATGTTCTTGCCATATTCCAATTAGACATAATGGTAATATAGAATATGTATTTGATAATCTTTTTTTATTTTGTAGAAAATATTTAAAATCTACAATGCGTAGATTAAATTAAACATTAAAAATGCGCGCCAAAATACACAAACAATGCAGCTGTAAAAGCTATGTCAACATGACGTTTAAAGTTTGAAATAAGAACAAGCTTTTAAACAAAACAAAAAGAAAAGTAAATTGAATTGCTAGATACCTTCATAGTGCCATTTATGTGTCTTTTTGGATTATGGCCGTTTTATACTCCAGTTTTTATATTCCCAAAACGAAGATACTTACCTGAATTTTGGTGTTATTGAGTTATTGTAAATATGGAGAAATTAAAGACTAAGCAATTTAGGCATGTGTTAGTGCCTAGTGAATGCCTAAAAATGTATACAAGAAAATGATGAATACATATGAAAACATTGTGATTAGAGTACTCACGACATTGTAATAGAAATCATCGGTCATTTCTGTACTTTATTGTAGTTATTACCTACATACAAACTCGATAAATATAACATACCTCAAATTTTATTGTTTTATTTTTGGGCAACCCTTTGTGTGTTACAAAAACTGATCGATATATGTACATAATGTACATACAATCGATGTACTTACTTGTTAATATCCGAGTGCATGGTTGGCGTGGTAGCTGAGTAACTGACTGCCGCGCAATATGCCGCGGGTTCGATTCCCGCACGGAATAACTCTTTGTATGATCCACAAATAGTTGGTCGGGTCTGGGTGAGATGTGTAGGTAGACATGTGAAATTGTATGTTTGTAAACGCACTCAAAACACAGGAGAAATTCCGAAGGCGGCGCAACGGTTTTATTTAGCTCACTCCGTCTGTTTTATTATTTATTATTAGGTCAAATTTTTAACAAATAAAAATCTCAAAATACCATACATCCATCATTTATAATATATTTGTTTCGAAATAGGTAGGATGGGCTTGACCTTGGCTTGTTCGATACCGATGTCGCAGGTTCGATACCCGCAGGGAACAACTCTTTGTATGATCCACAAATAGTTGGTCGGGTCTGGGTGAGATATGTAGGTATGTGAAATTTTATGTTTGTAAACGAGCAAGTTTTTACAGAGAAATTAAGAGGTACTTAGAGATTAACAGGTTGGATCCGCCTAGTCAACAGGACTACGCTAGGTACATACTAAGCTACCAGTTTCATCTACCTATTCTAAAATATTACACCTATCCTAATGCTTGCTGGGCCACACTAATGGGAACTGCCATTAATTATCGCGATAGTGGACATTAATCGTAGGAGTAATTTGATCACTAAACAAATAAGTTATATTTTTCATTGTTTAATATCATCAATTTATCGCTATAATTAATGGCATTTCCCGTTAGTGTAGCCCAAGCATCAGCTACTGTCGTACATGTTAGGTATATCTACAAATTTAGAGCTCTTAGCCAAATTTTTTTCAATTTCTGGTCCACTCGTTATATCTGAAAACCTAAAGATTAAACTTACTTTAAACTACGAGCTTATTAGTAGCCTAATAGCTAGCTTCTAGCTTGTCACAGCAGATGAGCTTTCGGGGAAGAGCCTCCTCCCCGGAAAGATACGCCTTGGTTTTGGTTTCGACTTCGACGGTCTTGAGTTTCATGTTTCCTAAACTGTACGTAAACGAGGAGTAAATGGCTAGTTTTATATACCTAGCCTATAATCGACTTTGAACTTCAATATCAATCATAAAAATAATGACAATACTTAATCATCACCATATTTAAAAAAAAGTTACATCTAGGTTTGAACCAGATCCCAAGTAGGTAGATAGTAGGTACCTACAGACAATATGACTTAGGTCCGGTTTAGGTACACGATATTTGTAGCTTAGTGCTTGGACTTGTCGCGCAATAAATAGTATCGTTTTCTAGCCACTTGCACTATTCACAAATACCAATTAAAAATAAGTGGTAAAATGTTTACAGAAAAGTACTTAGCTAATGTTTATTTATTTATTTGTATATAATGTTAGTGACTATATACCTAGTACCTACCAAGCGATTAGCTACGAAGCCCGCGTAAAACGGAAATCATACGTGACTTTGCCACGAGGGTAGGCAGAAACTCGAGAGCGCCACCTAGTAACATTCAAGCGTACTTTTAAGCTTTCTACATTCATAATTATTTTCTTTTCATCCATCATTCGGCTATCGTAGGTGGGTACTTCGTCTTTTAATAATTAGCAAGCTACTGATGTAGGCACTGACAATTCTCAGTAGGTATATAGGTATAAGAAGGTTCCATATCCCCCACCTGTTTCAGCCCCACGAATGGAGGATAACGCCCAGTTTTTTTACAGTTCAGTTTTTTTCAGACAATTCCTCTTCGATTGGGCCTACTGAATATATATGGTAAATTGTAAGCAGTAATTTTCACAATTATAATTGATAATTCAGATTATTACCCAACAGTATTGGCAATTTTACAACTTCACATAGGTATTATTGAATCAATAGCAGCTATTGCTAGTCATTTAAATGACCCCTTAAGTAATGTCATTGAACCTTGACGACCAATCCTCAATGTGACTCATAGGGTATTGACCTCAATTTGTAGAGCAAATCCTCTAACTCAAACATAACAGATATACTTGCACATGAAACAAAAAAAAAACACAAATTGTTCATTAATTTATTTATACTTTTACAGTATGCAACATTTTTTCATTAACATTACAAAATTGTTCAGCCTTGTGATGGGAGAAGCCGGAACCAGCCGATGCACAGATTGACATGATTTTGTAAATAAATAAAAAAGATATGAGTTTTAGGCGCCTGTGTTAGAATTGGAATATTCATTATGAGTAATTAATTTACTTATGCTGTACACTTAGAACTTCTCCTCCTCAAGACCGTGCTTGAAGAACATCATGATGGGGACTTGTGTGCCATCTACATCTCTGTACTCCATCATGGCGACCATGCCATCACAGTCCATGGACTCTCCAGTGAAGAACTGGAGCTCCTTAAACCTTCCTAGGATGTCCTTCATTACTTTGTTCATGTTGGTCTTGAAGACATCAACTTGGTCAGGTGCCTTCTCTTCTAATTTTGCAACTAATCTGAAATTAGAGAATAATGCATTTTAGTAATTTGAATATCAAAACTAAAAAAGTTTTCATTGAAAGAAACTTTAAATAGAGAATAAAAATGAGATCACTTTAATGCCATTTAGTTTTTACATGCAATATCATTAAATATTATAGGGTTGCATAGAAATAGATCGGATAAATGAACGAGGATTTAGTTATACTGTATACATGGTATTTAAATTGTTAGCTCCATTTCATGAACAAACATTACGAAATGAATGTTTTTTCACTGGAGTATGATGTTCTTGCATCAATCGCTCCACAGGATGACATTGAGAGTCAGCCAATGGTATTAGGTGATGCATAAATCCATAACAAAGAGAAACAGTCAGACAAAGTAATTTTAAACCTCATGTTGTGGGAGCAGTAATCTACAGAAATCTGTAGATAATGCATACAAACAGTACTTGAAGGAAAATACAACAATAATATTTAGATGAAACTATAAAATATTTAAAATAAATCCTAGGTATATGGTATAGTTTTCTGTTTCAGAGTGTCATGTACATTATTATTTCAAAATAATTTTCACCCAAATGATAATGAAACCATG